AAGGTAATTGGCATCCATTATTTTTTATTCTATATTTAATACAAATCAGAGTTTGCTTTCGATGTTTGATTCAGCAGAATATTTTAAATAATAAAACATATGAAAATGGCATGGACAGAAATGATGGGACCCCTAACCTAATATTTTGTTGCACAACTAATAGAGGTAATGACTGCAAACAAGAGATTTCTGTAACTTTCAATGAGACGTCTGCACCTGCCAGCAGGTAGTTTGGTTCACTCTTCTTGAGAAAGCTGCTCTAGCTCTCAGGTTTGAAGGATGCTTTCTCCAGATTCCATGTTTCAGCTCTTTCCATAGATGTTCCATAGGATTCAGATCAGTGCTGCAGAATAGTCAAATGTTTTGTTCTTAGCCATTCTTGGGAACTTTTAGCCGTGTGTGTTTGGGTCATTATACTGTTGGGGGGACCCATGATCTGCAACAGAGACAGAGAGCTCATTGACACTGGGCTGTACATTTCGGTCTAGAATGTCTTGATAGTCTTGTGATTTCATTGTGCCCTGCAGATTCCATAACATAACTAAGCCTCCTCCATGTTTCATAGTAGGTTCGGTGTTCTTTACATTTTTTCATCTTTGAACATAGAACTGGTGTGACTTTCCAAAAATAAACTCCAGTTCTGTCTTATCTGTCCAAAGGACATCCTCCTGGAATGTGGCGTGTCAGTATGCACCAAATTTCAGTCTGGCTTTTTTATGTTTTTTTTCCTTCAACAGTGGACTCCTCCTCCTGAGTCTTCTCCCATTGAGCCCACTGTTGCTCACAAATAGATGGATGGTGCGATCAGACACTGATGTGCCTTGGCCTGGGAGCTCAGCTTGTATTTCTTTGGATGTTTTCCTGGCTCTTGGTCTACTATTCACACTATCCTTCTGTTCAGCCTAGGGTTGATTTTCCTCATGCAGCAATGTCATGGGAGGTTGGCTACACTCCCATGGACTTTAAACTTATATTACATACTTTGCAACTGTAGTCACAGGAACTTCAAGCTGCTTCAAGATGGTCTTAAAGCCTTTATCTTTGACATGCTGGTCTATAATTTTCTTGCTGATCTTCTCAGACAACTATCTCCTTTGCTTTCTGTGGAGAACTCGATGACTACTTTGTCCCCATTTACGCAGACCGACTGATTCCAAGATTAAAGACGTGTGATACCAATGACAGAAAACACTTAGTTGGAAATATCAATGTGCTCCAGGTGTTTAAATTCTTTTCCAGGGGTACCAACAAATCTGTCCGGGCCATCTTAGAATATCGTTGTAGTGGAAGATTTTGAGGCGCCTGCCGCCTCCTTAAAGCAGCCCTCACAAAGCTTCTTTCCTGCCATGGCCTTGGTGTCACAAGCTTGACATCTGGCTGACTTTACCTTCCTCTTCCCAGAGGAAGCAGAGGACTCTATCTCCACATGGCTGAATATGAACAAAAAACCCTGATTAGAAAACGCACTCTTTTTTTTCCCATTCTTTTCTCAGACTTGTCCCATTCTTCCTGAATGAGCTTTTTAGTGATCTTGCTCACCGGAAAGCATGGTCTGTGTCGTCTTTGACCTGCAAAGTGCTTGCTGGAGGGGGACAAGACCTCTTCCTGCTCCCTCATGCCCAATGTTTTGCGCACCGAAGCAATCAGTGCATCCACCTTCTTAGGTTCAAGGGAAAGGGCGGCCGGTGACTCTTCACGCTCCGAAGAGGAATATTCACCCTCTGACATCGATCCGGCCTCCTCCGAGTCCACCTTACCTCAGCTCCACTGATCTGGATCCGCGTGGTGAGAGGTCGCTCCTGACATCCATTCTGGCACCAGACTGATGGAACAGCACAGAGGAGCAGAGCTGACTTAAATAAAGAAAACTTTTTTTTTGTTTTTTTTTTCGAATTTGGCGCCATCTCCGGGCCCCGTGTGACGTCACCAAACACGTCACGCAGATCCTCCGCGCATGCGCGATGGCCGTCCGAAGCCGCGAGTGCCCACACAGCATTGCCCTCACACCGCTGCCGCCGCTACACGGAACCGGAGGAGAGCCGCAGACTGCAGGTACTAAACGCCGCTCCAAGCGGCCGACCCGATGCTCCTGCCAGGGGGGAGAATAAGCCCCGGCTAGTCACCCCCAGCTCTGGCTTCCATACGCCCCACAGCCTGCTGCCTACAGAGGGACACCCTTGCTCGGGGCCGAGTTCTGAGGCCTTCCCAGGGGAGAGAGGCTGAACTCCCCAGGGGCTACAAGGATCAGTTCACATAATAAAACAATAAATCATTCTGAACAGAACAGATAGCAACCTGTCCTAGGGGGACAGGAACAAAAAAGACTGGGAAACTCAGGTAGAGGAGGGGCTTATATAGGCTAGGGTACTGCATGTTAACCCTTTATTGTTCCTGTCAACTAGGGGTAGGGGATGAAAACCCATTTGTCAGCGCTGCCATGGATATGACCAGGAATAGGCAATAATTCATCTCTTTTTAGGCTTTCTCTGCTTTACTCTATACCAAAGGCTTGCCGGTATACATGGGACGACTGCTTTTATTTTCATCAGTTTGCAAGAGGAATGAAACACTGTTTGTCCACGTCTATCCCATCTATATCATATCATGTTTGTAAAACTATTTTTGAAAGTATTTAAATGTATTAAATAGACCTTGTCCCCAACTTTAAAAAGATTGCAGGTAAAAGCATAGGACAATCGAGTATTTTAAATGCTTATTTGCAGTGTTTTTCCTTTCCATAAATGATTTTGTATTCACTTACAACATGTCTTTGCTAAGAAATGTGACTACTCCAGGAAGAGTCCATTCCTTAGCACTGCCCCACCCCCTGCACATGATAGCCCTCTCCTCTTCTGGGAGGCATCTAATTACTCTCTGTACTGGCCTAACACCTCCCTCCGCGCCCCGTCCCCCCCACCTCCCTTCATAACCTTTTATGTTTGCTGCCAGGGGAGGATCGAAGGGTAATAATATAGAGTGTCCACTGAGCTTTATGTCTGCTGACATTACATCCAAGATGGCGGCACTCAGTACCTGTCTCAGGGCTATTAAATGTTCTTTACAGGTAAGGCTTTTGCAGGTTAATACAGGGATGCTTTTACAGGGAAAAACATGCAAACGATTTGTTAATGCACATATAATCTTATGGAATCTTATGAAATGAATAGTCTGACAACAGGGTCTCTTTAAAGAACCTTTTAATATGTATGTTTTGGTTACCTGGCCAGCAGGTGGGTGTTTGGCCTAGCATTTGGAAGGATTCCTATCCCCACCCACACAGGTCTTCATGTGAAGCGTAAATGACTAGTCCAGATATGCTGAAAGCAAATTTAGAAACAGATCTGTTATTTATAATTTTGGGGACTTGTTTTGTTGAATGCTTCCAAATAAAAATGGAATTGTGGGTCTGGACTCTTACTCCTCTTTTATGATCCTTGAGAGTTAGCAAATGTCATTTGCAATATTCCACAGGTTGTGATCCACAATTTGTACCCTGTTGATCTACAAAGCACTAACAGATGCATTGATCACTTCCATAACTAGACTTATCTTACATACTACTAACTTATTCATCTTTTTTTTAAATATTTTTTTAGATATTTAATGATTATGAAAAGCTTCTACACTCCGAGAACTACGTGACAAAAAGACAGTCATTGAAGGTAACACTAAACATGCAATTGTTTTGACATTGGTTCACCTGATTTAACATGAGCCCAATACCATTACAACTACCTTGGCCGCTTGCAGTCTTTGGTAAACTTCAATCCTGGAATCATGATCCCATATAGTTTAAAAGTCCGTAGAGTTACCTACCCTGTTCAAATAACTGCGTTGGCATTCATGCCACTGTATATGGTGAGTATCAATAGTTCTGGACTAGTAGTTATAAAACTCTTGTTTCTTACTGGATAATCAGAAAAAAAGCCAATACTTCTTGTTTCTATTTAGGAAAATCAGCCCCACTCTACCCAGAGAGCTGATTGTGGAAAGGGTGGGACAACCTACAATCCCCTATTTTCAATGCCGAATGTAGAGCAGGTTGCATACAACTGCATGGCATTTCAGTAGGTAGCTGTCCATGCCCAAGTCTATGATTCACACCTTCCTATGTTGGTATTTTTTTTTCCCCCCCCCCCATGACAGACCGTCAATTCCTCCCTAGGATAACTGATCAGTCCGAGCTGTCCCTTATTTGGAGGGACTGTTGCTCTTTTGTAGCCAAACCCCTCTGTCCCTGAAAAAAATGTACTTTTGGGTTTAACCAATTATATTTTGCATGCTAATTCTTTATGGAACGTGGAAGTGGGGTCATGGCAGGGATGTCTTCTTTGCTTACATACTTTGTGCTAAAAAGTATCCCTTTTCTCATCTCATGAGAGATTATGAAAATAATTAACAGACCAAAGGAACTGTTTATATTTTTTACTGTTTTTTTTATTTTTATAAATTCTTTATTTAACGAGTTTTCAGACAGTAAAACATATATAGCAAGCAAGGGAAACAACTCCCATCGTAAAAGCAGTGGACGCAGCCACCAAACAATGACATTACAATATAGTACGGTAGACAGTACACACTTTCAACCCTAAGGCATATGAATCCTGGATAAAGCCCTCTCGGACAACCACTCAACCTGTATGTTGATGAGATCGTAGATCTCTGGAAGGGTCGCGCTTTGCTATAACGGGCCTAAAGTATCTGAAGAGACCGCCCCGGCGACGCAGGGACAAGCCCGCCTCCGCCCGTTATTTTTTAATGTTTTACGTGTAAATGATTTTGACCTTTTGGTAGCCATTCTTGTGATGCACACATCTGCTTGTCAGGATGATCACTCTGCTGCTTCCTAGTTCACTGTTACTGTTTCCTGGGTCCTGGGCTAGCTTGGTGCTCATTGTACATATGTCCAGTGATCATGCTGGTGGTGGGAAGGAGACATGGGAAGCCAGAAAGCATAATCAGGATATGATTGTGCTCCCATTCTGGCTGCACACTATGCAAGAGGTGCGGACATCACAAGAGTGCCTGACCAGCATTACCAAACCTTGGGCATGTAAATGAGTAAACATATTTGTATTTCAAATGTGTATTTAGCGGTTATCCAGACATTTTACTTGAATATATTTCAGCTGACAGCATTAATAATGACCTGACAGATGTGTAAACATAGTTTCTGTTTATCTCATCAGCTGCTGGGTGAGCTGATCTTGGATCGACACAACTTCTCCATAATGACAAAGTACATCAGCAAACCAGAGAATCTGAAGCTCATGATGAATCTACTGCGAGATAAGAGCCCCAACATTCAGTTTGAAGCTTTCCATGTCTTTAAGGTGAGTTATTAGGACCATTGTGTGATTGGGGTTGGTCTGTGTTCTGTCACAGAGTAGGGAAGACATATGGAAGATATCAGAGTGGAAAGCCAGACAATGTGCATGAGACCTGTGGCCAAAATCCCTTGTACGTCACGGATAATGGAGCACATAACTTGGATCTATTTTTACATGCTGCATAGAGTATGATAAATGGAAGAATGTTCACTGTGCTTTAACCCTGTTCTGCTCCCACAAGAAATATGGAAAGCTCTTTATGTGTATGGTTATTTAATGTTAGTCTATTTTGTGCTTTACAGTGGACTCTACAGAATAAAATAAATACAATGATTACAATTTTTTTTTCTGCTTTAAAACTGTTTTTTTGGTAATACCCTTTAAAACTTACATGGCACTAACCTGAGTTATGAAAACTGAGCATGTGATGGAAAAGACATAAGCAGAGGTTATCTTCCATGAAAATCACAAGTCAAAACATTCAGTGGATCTAGAGATAAAGACCCCATTGAAGTTGTAGGTAAATCTCGACTTTCTTTGCAAAATTCAAGCCTGGCCTACTCTTCCCAAGCTTCTCTATTGGTCACTGAGGTAGGCTAAAGAGCCAATAGGCAGACTTTGGAGGCAAGGTGAGTTGCAGTAAGCTTTACCAAAAGAGACACTTTTTTCTGGTTTCGGATAAAGTACAAAAGGGTAAAAACCCCATTAGATTTCTTTTTTTTTTGTGTGTGCCCCATTAGGGAGAGTTTCCTTCGCATCCTGTCTGCAGACACAACAGGAAGTAATGAAATAAGAGAAAATCTCTCCAAATGAAAGGAAATCCCTTCTTAGACAGTCATCACATGTGTTCCCTTTGGAAGATTTGCCCTCTGTTACTCTTTAGGTAGAAAATCAAAATGTAGTATTTTATCTCACTTTCAGACCTGGCGATGGTGGTAGTACATCGCACTAGCAGGGACACACAAAAACCTGACAGGGGTTCCATCTACCCCATTGCATCCACCTCCAAAAACTTTGTGAAGGTTGGTGTCGGAGCTCTGGTGAATTGGTGACCTCACCCTCTCCGTCATGTGACAGTGTTTGGGTCTAGTGATTGACCCATAGCCCTAAGCACTGCATCGTGGGAGGAGGTCACATGCTCCCTTATAACTGGAAGTGGGGACCACTGAACAAGGAGCAGCAGGAGATTAGTGGAGATGTGAATATAAAGTGATCACTTTGCCCTCCATGGCCAAGGTGACAGTTTCTCTTGAATGGTTCAGCTTTATGTTTGCTTTGTTTCTGTTTTATAAAATGATGGTGTTCCCTGAAATCATTTCTTTGCTCTTCTACCCTAGGTATTTGTAGCAAATCCAAACAAAACACAGCCAATTGTGGATATCCTGCTGAAAAACCAGACAAAGCTAATCGAGTTCCTGAGCAGCTTCCAGAAGGAGAGGACGGATGATGAACAGTTTTCCGATGAAAAAAACTACCTGATCAAACAGATACGAGACTTGAAAAAGCCCAATCCGTGAACATGTCTCCAACTTCTACCAGCCATCATCAGAATAAGTGTTTTAAGGAGTTTTCATGGCATCGTCGGTGCCTATGTTTTTGTTTCAATTTAGTTTATTAGCTGCCAAGAGTATACAGTTTTATATTAAAACTTTAAAAAAAATGTTCTTCTTAATCAGGTTTGTGAGGAGGTGAAATTTACAAACATGGAAAGTTGGGCCGTCGTTGCTGATGATGATGTGGAGTCAATATCTTGTCAATAAGTCTATACTTTTTGCTTTAGCCTTTTCAATGTACAGTTCGAGAACATGTAGGGAGATGTCAGGTAACATTCCATGATCAGCTTTGGTTCAGAGAAATGGATTATGCTACAGCAACCAAGAAACCAGCTGAGATGTTTAGCACTTTTTTAAAATCCCCAATGGAGCCTTTACTGGAAGGAATACAATTTAATAAGTGTGACATACGGTTCTCCTATTGAGATCAAGTTGTACTCTAGTGAACTATATATAGAAGATCTCAATCGGTAAGCATTTTGTAACTAAATAAGCCTACGTGCATGAATTTAATGATCTCTCCTCTGTTCCTGTTTAGCGCTTAAAGCTGGCTTTACACCACATGCACTGTGTTTAACGCGCAAAACCATTACATTTGATGTGCGCTGTTTTTTAAGATGTTGCGTATATATTTCTTTCCCTAGCGTGTGTTGCAGCATGTTGCGATGCATTTTAATGAGTTGCAGAGTGTTCCACTTCATTTGAATCCAACATATTCCATTTTCACAGTTACTTTGGTGTGCACTGGTAGATTTCAGCTTGTCATTGCGTTGAGCAGTGCAGCCCAGTGCACGTGGTGTGAATAAGCCTTTATGGAGACCGGTAGAGCCCATGTAAAGATAATCGATCTTTATACAGGACGTTACTGCAGTGATCATAAATTCTATGCAATTTCCATGTATACAAGCCCCTAATATCAATAAGAGTAATCTGGTGATTTGTATAGTGTGTGGGTATAGTCCGGACACACTGGCTTTATTATGCTCCATTGTAAAATCTTACATTAATACTAAAACATGTATAAAATACGATTTCTAGATCGTTGTTACCGGCTCAAATACAATGATAACATCAGCTGTAAAAATCTCCATGCTTATTAAATGCCATGGCAGGAGCTTTTACATTTGGGTTGCATCTGTCTGTGCAGAGCTAGTCAAGAACCTGTGCTGCATGCTGGGAAATGCTTTATCTTTCAGTGTATGATAAATAGCAGCTATGCAGTATGGATCTTGGTTTAGTTCATTTTCCTGCTAGATGTGTACGTCAGACAACCTTCTAAGAAGCACAATGAACGAGGGTCCTCTGAACCCACAGATGGGCTGCTCTCAATGTTGAATAGCTAAAAGCAGCTTCATGTATACAGATAAAAGGAGAAATATAGCGAGGACACATCTGTAACATACAAGGGTGGAACATATTAGCATCAGTTACAAAAGCTTATAACACATGCAATATTTTCATTATTATACATTATTCACTAAACCCAACTATTACATTTCTTCGTTCCACTTGAGCTTTTATCACATAGATAAGAATTTACCACGTGCACAATATATTATAAAGTTTGTTGGAATTCAGTGTATACAAGTTTGTTCATACAAGATGATTGCACAGGATGTTTCTCCTAAACATTTGGCTACCTTCTAGCTAACAGCGAGTTTATTGTCAGTGATGTGTGTATATCGGGGAGCTAGAAAAGGGGCCCTTCCTGGTGGAGCTAAATTAATGGATATGAAGATAAAATACAGATTTCAGAGAAAGTATTTGAAAGGTTAAATCTTCATTTCATATAGAAGAATAACAATACCATAAAAATACAATATGAATTTCTTATTTGCTTGCATAAAAGGAATGCCTGTAAACAAACTAACATGGCTTTGTGAATTGATGCTATTCAGTTATATACTAAACCTATTCTGACATGAATCTTACGGCTTTGTAGTATAGAGGTTACATGTACCCTCTGAACATGGTCTGCCATTTATTTATTAGATTACCAGCCAATTGACATTCTTGACTAGAGCTCGTGGGAAGACTTCTAGGGCGAATAGGAGCTAAGAACAAAGCAGAATGTGTGACACTTTATGCCTTTATATTCTGGTGATATTACTAAATAATTGGCTTCTCTGTATAGCTGTAAATAGTATGTACGGAGTATGAATATGTTGGTATCCAAAGCACCACTGTGTGTGATACTCTTATGCTGACATTTGGTGGAAGCCATACTGTCATCCTCTAAAACAATGGAAGGCAGCATCTGTGCTATATTTTTAGAATCAGCTCGCCATGTTGGGGCAATTGTGATCCCATCACTGTGCAGTCCATCAGGACCACCATTTTATTCAACTGCTTTTATCATTTTGGCAAAAATGTAAATTGATAGTTTGGTTGCTGTATCAAATTGCCACGTGAATGGCCAATGTTACAGTTCTTAAAGATAAACCCCAGTCAGGGTTAAAATCAATACATTTACTTAAAGCAGAACTGCAGCCTCCTATACTTTACAGCCAAGGAAGGTGCCATCTTGGCCTCCATTTGGCGTGCTGCAACTGTGATCAGCTATGTCTTCATTTATTTGAGGGCCTGAACATGTGGCTGAGAGCTGAAAAGGGACACTGGCACCCCTTAAAAGTTAACCATTTTGGTAAACCATTTAATTGGCGAGTCAAGTTCCACTTTAACATCAGACTGTGTACATGTACTTTGTCTTTTCCTAATACTAAGCTGCAGGTTGCAGAGCAGCTTCCTCTAAAGGAGGAGGAGTCAATGTTACAATACTCGGCACTGACTTTTATGAATGTTAGGTTATTGAGGACCCATATGAGAGCAGTATGTTGTTTCATAATGTTTTCATCTCCCGATACAGGACAAAAGCTTTAATAAATTAAAATTTTCTTCTAGTGTATCCACAAACAGAAAGCAGACACTGATAATTACCTTACTTCTGAATTGTATGTTTTGACAAGAGCTCTACTTTAACTGCTTGTATAAAGTGAAAACAATATATTGTAGAGACTATACATCGAAGTGACGTCTGCATTGCCACAGTGTGACTGGCAATGTTTTAGCCATAACTTAGGCAGCTGTAGTAAACTTGTTAGCGCACCCCAATAAATTGTTATATGAACCCTTGACTTTCAGAGATTGACCATATTCCCAACTCCAAAGTTTCCGAATTCCGAAGTTATTACATATTAGTTGTTTTTATCCCTCAGTTTTCAAACTCCACTTATTCTACTAAATAGCACAGTAAGGCAGAGGACTAAATAATTGTCTTTCTTTCTAGTATTTATTACTCGGCTCGCTCCTTTAAAGTGAATATGTGGCCAGGTTATGGACATTGTATTTACATATGCGTAACAAGCATTAAATAAGCTTTAAAGCAAGCTTTCACTGACTTATGTAGCTGCAGGCACTGTGGAACAATTCATCCGTGAAGGTCACGGCAGGTTAAATTGCTCGAAGGTTGCGGTCACAAAAGTGGTTTCAGGCTGAATTGTTCCACAGCGTCTGCAGCCTCTGAAGTTAAGGATGGCTGGTTGTAAAGTTAATTTACCGCTTGTCAGGAATATCTAAATACTTGAATGTCAAAAGCTTGCCAATAGGTTTAAGTTTACCGCGTGTAGACACTCTTGATGTAATCCTTGTGGCCAATGGGAAGCGTTTTTCCAATTGCTCTGAAGAAGCTGATCTAGGTTTGTGGACTACCCACAGACACATCATTCCACAAATACAGCATTGTCTAAAATGACATTTGCTATTGGGGACATAGCAGAACCTGATGATCATTTCCCATCAGTTCTTTGCAGTATTTGCCAGGAAGGTGGCCGTAAGGTTTATGGGGAACGACAGAAGAGCAATGAATGTAGCCAGATAACTATGTGTTCTATATTATGTTAGTTTAGAGTACTCGCGTGCATTGTATATTGTCACCTGGCAGTCTGCAGCGGTGAAACCTGTGATGGTGACATCCTTAGTGTCCATAGCTCAGTGGTGACTGGGCACTGGGATCTTGTCTGTCTTCATGTGAAGTGTCAGTCTGCACAGCATTCGCCCCGGCGGTGGCTGCCTGCACAAGATATTCTACGGGGTCAGCTCTCTGAGCGAGTTATTATGGCGTTCCAGGCATAAAGCGTAAACCAAGCTATTGTTTTCTATTTTTATATCTAAGTAGGTAATGAAGCTAGCTTTGTAAACAAATTAATCTGTAATAATATAACTTTAATATATTGTTCTATTTCAAGTTTGTTTGTCATTTGAAGTGCTTGACTATCTTTCAGCTGCAGAGTCTGCAGCAATAATGGATACTGGTGAAGAGGCCCTGTTTTCCCGGCCCTTTATTATAATGAGTGGTTAGATGATGTTTGTAATCTCCTGGGTGTGGGCAGCGCATGGTAAAAGACTTTGATATCATTTGTTTTTACAAAGGTACATTGGTGAGAGTCATTCCCCACGGAAATGAAATTAAATGAAGGGTTGCCAGCAAGCAGCTAGACTGATGTCTGCATTTAGTTTCTAAGCGTTGTTCATTTTGGTTGCTCTCTGCAATGTATTTGTAGCTGCGTGCATTTTCCGGAATACACAACAGTGGCCTTCAACTTTAAGATCAAGCGGATCAGGAGATTCTGGTTTCCCATAGCTGCAATGCAAGTTGTCTTGGTGGAGTGCTATGGGAAGCACCGCTGATTTTCCTTTGTTACCGCTTTTATAAATGAGGTCCAATGTCTTACCTTTAAGAGTGTACAAATTCTGGCCTCTATGATGTGGACATATTTACTCTGCACTCAGAATCTGCTTGTTTGATAACGCCCCACTTCAGCCTAATCTTTTATATAAAAGGGGGAAGAGTTAGAATTCATAGTTGTGCGTTCATCCACTGAGGAGATGTTAACAGATGACCATCCTGAACACATACCTCAGGAACCGTGTTCACAAGATGGGTGCATGGCCATCATTGTAGTCAGAATGAAGACCAGCACTCCATAAATGTACAGTATTTACCCACCTTCATAAAGTGGGTCCACGTGTCCCTGAAACATTGATATATGACAATAACCTTTCAGTCAATACTAGACATTTACATTTACGGCCTTCCACAAAAAAAATGACCCCTCAATGTTTATCTCTCTGATACTAAAACAAGGAAATGAATGGAAATTGGAGTCATCAAGGCATGATAAAACCCTCAGAGACTCTAACCTTTCCCCATACTAATGAGAAATATAAATGTGTTTCTGTTGCTGCCGTTGTCCTTATTGGAGAGACTTTCTCATCACTCTGAATCTCCATCCCCAAAACAGCAACGGATGGGGAAGTCGGCAACAAAAACCCAGAGGGGTTCTAAACCTTCAAACTCTATCTGAAACATATACATCTTTGGCTGAAGTTGAGCTTTAATAAGGAATAATATTGCAATACTTCTT